CCCCCCCCGCCCCCAGTGCAGCTAGCCAAAAACAGCAAGCAGCTCTGGGGAGGCAGGACAGGGCAGGGGGTGGTGAGGCAGTGGTCCAGGGCCAGAGAAGAGATCCAGCCGTGTGAGCAGGGGCATGAGGAGCCAGACGACCGCCCTCCCAGCCACCCCTGCTCCTGCCAGCTTCCCTCCTCTGCTGCCCCTCCGGGCCAGCCAGGAGGGCTGACCCAACCGGCCCGCTCTCTGCTGTCCTGGCCTCGCCCTCCGCCCGCCTTCTCTGCAGCTGCTCCTCGCCTAGGATGGGGTGGACTCTGGGATGCTAACCTGGGACTGAGATGGAAGGGTTGTAACAGTCAATTCCAAGGGTGGGGGAGGGACACTTCAGCCCTCTCTTCCTGAGGCACATCCTCAGACCCACACCCCTTCCTCGGACCCTCTCCTGTCTCGGTCCCCCCACATCTGTTGTGAGTTCTCCTCATCCAGGCAGGTGCAAGAACACGCCATCCAGCTTTGCCTCCCGGGACTGCTCACCATTCTCTGTGATGATCTGGGGCACCTCCTTGGCTGCTGGGGAGTAGCACTGGATCTGATTGCCTATGACCAGCCCATCCATCTCCGACAGGTCCTCAAAGGTGCAGTTGACACCGGCTGACAGCTCCGGGACATTGTATGTCTCCAGGACCAGCTGTGAGCAGCCGGGCACAAGGAGAGAAGGAGGAAGGTGGGACGGGAAAAGGAAGGGTATGGAATGAAGGGAGAGAGGGGGAGCAGGAGAGATCCCGGGAAAGAAGAGAGACGAACAAGACGGGTGTCAACACAGAGATGTAAAGAGACAAAAGGGACCTCGTGAGAATCGGAAATGGCAATGTCTGGGGGATTTGGATTTAGGAAAAGTGGCAACACCGACCACCAAGTACCCAGTGCAAGGAGCCATCTTCATGCTCCTTCCTCTGCACCACACCTGTCCCATGTTGTAGACAAAGATCGTTCCCAACACTCTGTTGCTCTTCTGAGTATTTTGGGTATGACAGTTTCCTTGTCTTTCCACTCATTACATGTGCAGCCTCTTCCCCAATATTCCTGCTTGTGTCCCCTTCTCGTGTCCCCAGTGGACTCATCTTTACCAACTCCTGCCCTGCTCTAGCGCTACATTTCCTGGCCAGCCTTGGCCCCATTATCCCAAGGGGCCTCGGGCTCAGGAGCTCTCTGGTGAGGAGCGAGCCCTTCCCCACACCCCCGGCCCCTTACCGGCACACTGTACTGAGAGACGGAGATGTTGTTGGGGTGGACCGTCAGCCGGACACACTGCTTCATCTCTGAAGCAAACCTGCGGGGCTCCCTGGACCGCTCACACCGCTCCTTCCGGGTGCACCTGGGAAGGATGTACCAACAGGTTACTCAGGACATGGCCACGTGGTCCAGGGAGGGGCCCCATGCTGAGGTCAGGCATTTCCAGCAGCTCCCAGGACGTGTCCAAACTCAACATGCCCAGAACTGACATTTTCCTAAAGCCTGGTCTTTCTCCATCATGCCCAAATTTGAAAAAGATGGTAATTCCAATCACCACTTGCCAAATGCAGAAGCTTGACAGACATCCCAAACTCCCCTCACCCCCTCCAAACTCAGCCAAGAGTTGCACAGTCCTGTCTGTTCTACCTCTCCACGCATCCTGAGGTGAAAGGAGACGCACTCTTGCCATATATGTGCAATATGCTCTTCAGACGTCCTTGCCTTTCTGCAGGCCAGTTCTTCTCTCTGAACTTCCCTCACCCCACTTCTCCACCTGCCCAACTCCTACCTCTTCTTCCAGACATGGTTCAACCATCAGGCACTTGCAGTCTCTCTTCCCCCTCCCCCCCCCAGGCAAAGCCAGGAGCTTCCTCCTTGTGGTCCCATAGCACTTTGGAGTTTCCTATAGTTCAGAACATCTCTGATTATACAACAATTATCAGGCAAAGTGCATCCTTCTCCTACCAAGTGTGAGCTTCTCAAAAGGAGAAACTATGTCTGACTTGTTTGGAATCCCCTGTATAACTTATGTCCTAGCAGACAGAAGATAAATGTAGGTGGGAGGGAAGGAGGGAAGGAAGGATCAAAGGTGTAGAGTGTAGTAGTTAGAAGCATGCTCAGGATCGGAATCCCAGCTCTATGGCACAGGGTAACTGCTATATAAGGTTTGCTGTGATTGTCTAATGCCCTGTGCTGTACAAAGTGTACCGTGTCACAGGTGGACCATATCCAGCATGACCTGAGATCTTACAGCTTTAATGGATGAGGGCTTGTGAAAGATGCACATAAAAACCATGGACCCCACCCAAATGCACACATCACATGAGGTCACCACATGGAGGTATCTGAGTCTCGGGGAACAGTATTTAGTCTGAGTCAGATAAGCCTTGAGAACGTGGATCTTTCCTGAATGGCTGGGATTTGGAAACTCTGGTCTACTGCTTCTGCTCTGGGGGGAGGACAAGCAGGTCCTCAGGAGGGACAATTTGAGAGAAGATGACACTGCACAGAAATCTCTCCTGAGCTGCTGATCTTTTCTGGTTAAGTGAAAAGACTGAGCTGGGGAAGGAAGACATCAGGAACTGTTGCAGAATGGGACGGAGCCCTGGCAAGGAGTTTAGTAGGAAACGGAACGGCCAGGGATGTGGAACCCACATGAGGGGGGATTGGGAGGATTTGGGGAGGGAACATGTGTCTCTAGAAGCAGACAGGTGTGGTGTGGGGCAGGGGGGCGCCTGGACATCTGAGCTGCGCTTGGGGTGACTTGCAGGCTCAGAGAAAAGCTGTGGAGTCTTTCCTTCCATCCATGGGGAAGGAAAACACCTTTGGGGGAAGGGGAGACCCAGGGACAAAACAGGAGGACCTTAGAGTACATCGGATGTGTAATGCTAAAGTAAAAAACAATCCTGAATAATACAATCATGACTACTAGCTACTGAGTGCTTATTAGGCACTGTGATAAGAAGTTTATATTTTATGTCATTCATGTCTCATGATAATGCCGTGACAAACCCCAAACTGCAGAAGAGGGTGGGTAAGTAACTCGCCCAAGTTCACCAGCAAGTCAGCGAGAGTTGGTATTTGAACGTGGATGAACTCTCGAGCTTGTGCTCTCTTTACCTCTGTGTTCCATCTCCCTGAAGCTTCCAGACTGTGAAGTGTGGGACAGACTCCGAGCTGCAGACTAGAACCATGTTCCCTGCCATCTTGATGCCCCCTTCGTGTTCTCGGGGCAATTTAAACATTTCTCCTCCGCCTTTCTCTCTAGGCTAATCAGCACTTTTGCCTTCCACTGGGAAGCACTTTGAATATGATTGCAACTTGCCAGACGAGGAGGAATTCGCCAGGATGCTTCTAGGAAACCCATCCCAGTGGGGAGAGGCCAGACCTGGGTCTCATCATCCCCGTGGCACTCCCTGGCTGCTCTAGCAGACCGGTGACAACAAGAGCGTCTGGCTAGAAGTCTCGGGAGTTAATTTACCAGGCCAGCTCCTCTGCGAGGACTCCATTACCTTCAGCCATTAAGCTAATGTTATGGACTTTTCCACAGTGTTTTCACTGACATCGCTATTAATAGTGTTATTACTCCCATTAACAGCAGAACCAGAGAGCAGGTATGGGCTTCAATTATTCACTGACTCCCCAACTTTGAAGTTCCTATTTCCAAGAGCAATCAGTAGATCTGAAAAATGTCTTTGATTAAATTATGAAAAGAGAAAAATGCAGCTGCTCCCAGGCCAAACATCACCTGGAGTTACCAAATAGAGATTCAGAGAGAAAAAAGAGGACTCCATTTCTCTTCCCAGGGGTAGAGCACAAAGGTATCTGGTTGGGGGACCTCAGGACAAGTTCTACCTGCATTGTTTGCTGCTTGCAAAGTTCAGGTGGCTGCATCCTGCCACTGCTCCTGAGAGCCCCATACTAGCTACTTATCACCTTTCCCCAAATTTAGGTCCTCCAGGAAAGTGACCTAGAGTTTACAATTGTAAACATCCCATCTAACTGTGTAATCTTGAGCAAATTACTTCACCTCTTCATGCCTCAGTTTTCTCATCTATAAAATGGGGATAAAATAGTATTTACCTAACAGGGCCATTATGAGGATTAAGTGAAATTATGTGAGTAAGGCATTCAGAACAGGGCATAGCTCATAATAAGTCCTCACTAAGTGTTAGCTGGTATTATTACTCCATCTCTGATCTCCTCATCTGACCCCTCCAAACTGTAGCCGATGCGGAAGCCCAGATCTTCTCCCAGGCTGGCCCATGGGGTAAGTCAAAGACAAAAGATGAGGGTGGCTGTGGCGGTCTTTCTCTTAATGATGGAGGAGGTGGCCCAGAGGCCAGGAGGGAAGAGGGAGAGAAGAGGAAAAGACTGGTCTGGGTTGTAGCTCCAGTTTCTTAATAGCTGTCAGAGGGTATTGAGAATGCAGCTATCTTAGTGGAAAGTCAAATTTAAGGTCAGAGCCAGGGATGTTTTGACATTTCTACTATCCCTCAGTGCCCACGAGGGTGGGGGCTGCAAATGTCCAAAAGCACAGACAATTGACCTTAAATGTGATAGCATAACAGAGGGGAAAGGATGAATTCCTTCTGATTTCTTAGGGGGTCTGTTAAGGTGATGGCCTTCTGCCTTTCTAGGACTGGGATTTCCCGCTAGCCCAGGCAAGAGCTGAGAAGTGTGCAAAGGGTTAATTCATGACTCTTTGGGGGCCCGGCTTTGATGTTTCCTTCTAAGGGGCTCCAGGTGCTTCCTAAGGCAGGTCCCTCAACCCCACTGTAGGGGCACCCTCGAAGTGGAAGGAAAATTCTGCTCCATCCATTTCCCAGGTAGGAAAACTAGAGCTTTGATGGATTCAGAAAATGCATGCTGTATGACTTTGAGTTTTCAGACATTTGTCTCTGCCACCATCGTTGTAACCCCCGTCCCAAGCACAGATCTGAAAAGGCTGGCAGGAAGCAGACTCCAAGAAGACACATCAGGTCCCCAAAATTGCAGTCCATCCCTGCTAACCTCTTCTTCCCTCCTTCCTCCTTCCCCTTTCTCTGCAGTTCAGCCCCTCCAGCCCCAGATCAGAGGTGCTAAAAGCCCTCAGGGAGAAGGCCCTGGCCCTGGCAGGGGTTATTATTCAAGTCAGTGGTTCCAATGAGATTATCCTCTCTAATGAAGCAGCTACCTCCGCCCTCCCCTAAGCCTGAACTTTCACTGCTGGAGGATTCCCAGCCAAGTGGAAAATTAGAAGAGAGAGGAACAGAGAAAGGAAGAGGGTGAGGGAGAGAGAGGTGGTGATTAAGTTCTCCAGAAATTAGTTCCCAAAGATGGGGATAGAAGTATCAACTCCTGGTGCTGCTGGCCAGGCAAACACATTTCAATTTGGAAATGGGGCTGCCTGTGAGTCTGGCCTGGATGAACCCCTGAGCTCGAGGGGTCATTGCTGGTCCCTGTCCCCAGGCCCTCCAGCATGGACCCACCAGGTGTGGCTATCAGAACTTGCTCCTTGCGTCTCCCCACACACGACCCCTAGTCCCTAACATTTCACATTGGCCATGGCTTGTGCTCAAAGTGCACTATTTGGGGAATCTGTGTTTAGAGCATGAGGAGACTGAAAAAGAAAGGGGAGGTCGGAAGGGGTCTTCCCAAATGGGCCCGATGGAAAAGTTAAGAGAATTTAGAATGCCAGCTCAACTAGGAGACCATGGGAAGCTCTTTGGTCATTGTCATCACATCTGGGGACCTGACAAGGGAAGAAACTGGATTTTCTAGTATTGTTCTCCCCGCCCTCTTCAGGAATGCCCACAGAAATGGGCAAGTGCAGCTGTGTGGCTTGGAGGAAGGACAGGGAACTGGATAGTACAGGGAACCTTTCTAGGCAGATGGGTGTGTGAGAAGTTTCTCACATGAAGGATGAAGACCAGGTGAGTCCTTTCAATGTTATTATTCTAGGATCCAGTGACTGACACCACAGTCTTACGGAAGTCTAAGTATTCTGGTTGTTCCTCCTAAATACTTAGGATAAACCCCAAGACAAGGAGGCTGAGGCTGTACTGTAATTTTCCCTCTGCTGCCCCTTTATCACCTGTAGAGATCCAAAGCCAGCCTGAGCAGCACCTGATACTGGATTCATCCATGCTATTCCAAGGGGAGAAAGACTTTCCAACGGGGTGCTCGTCCCAACCACCCAGACACAACCCTCCTGTCCTGGGGAGGAGAGGACCAGGAATAGAAAGGTCCTTGGGGGAGATCCTGGGTTCCAGCTGCAGACTCTACTTACACAGCTGTGGTCACAGGGCCACTTCAGGCACGAGTGCCTGCTGCCTTCCAGGCCCACTGAGGGGCTTCATGCATGTCCCCTCCCTTGGTTTT